TTTTTCTACCCCGGTTGGGCATTAAGTTGTATGTCGGAAACAATCCCCCCCCCCCCCCCCCCCCCCCCGCGCCCCCCCAGCTCCTCGTTACCGCACTCACCTCTCTGTTGGTCAGCTCCAACATCTGGCCCACGCAGGAGCACAGCACCGTCAACAGCCCCGAAACGAACGCTCCGATGGCCTCTCTAGAAACCTCTCCCTCCGCGTCAAACCCGCCCTCACCCCACCCGGCCCCTCCCCCCCCGTCCGCCGATGACCCTGTCCCGTCTCTAGAGGTGGCGCGCTCTTGTCTTCCTCCTGCTTCTCCCTCCTGCAGCAGTACGCACAACAGCAGCGAAAGCCGAGGGTGAAGAGCACAGCAGACAGCAGGGTTGGTGCGTTGTGAAAGTGGGCAGGGTTGGTTCGGTTGTGAAAGTGGAAGAGCAGTCAAAGGCGAGCGCAATAAAAGTAGGCAAAACGCAACAGGGTCGGTGCGTTCGAGTGGAAGTGGAAGAGGCTATATAGGGATCACAAGACTGATTCCAGCGGGGAGGGAAAAAGGGGACCAGGCTTGATTGACGAACGGCCAGAAAACCATGAAACGTACGGAATGACTTTACGGGAATACGGGAATACGGAAGGACGCTGCTGTGTGGTGGTACGTGACACGCAAGACGGCGATCGTTTCATTGGCGACCATCACGACAAACGCCGAGGCTGGTGGTAGGGAAGGATGGCTAGAACGCAAGGCTGATACACACGTCTGCAGAAGACGGACAGAACAAGACGTTGAGACTTGCTGGCTACCTTTCTATCGGTCTGGCTTGAAACGGCCAACAGCAACAACAACACAAAGGACATGATGAAAGAAAACCCCGCCTCGCTTCAGATACCTGTGGTGATCGACCGCCACCCCCGAAGAGCGAGTAGGCAAACGCCAGCTTCGACGACTTTGATCCACAGCACAGGAAGGACAAGCCGCACGCCAGGTCCCTGTAGTGATTCGTTGGTTTGTTGCCGTCAGTTGTGGTTCGGTGTTGTTGTGAGGTTGTGTGTGACACGCGCAAAACACAACGGGGGGTAGATTCTTGTGGGAATCTTGTCTAGGTAAGATCAAACACAGGCTGCGGGTTGAGCCAATCAGAACCAGCACTACCGAGCAAATGCACACACCACACACAGCGGCAGGTAGTTGAGCAACTGCGGTCGGCGTTACCACATACCACACACAACACCGTGGCCGGCACTCTACACGCCGAGTAGGCCGTATTGCAGAACGAGGACGACATCGGCATCCAACGCACCATCAAACTTGCACCCATCGCTAGCGATGGACTTTTTTTTGTTAGAGCAGACCTGTCGTTCGATTAAAGCCTCCTGCTTTGATCGACAGGGTCAAAAACTAAAAAACCCTCTGGCGCGTGGGGGAGTGTGAGTGTGTAGGGTGATTCTTGCACATTACGTCAACGCACGGTCGACCAAACAGCCTGCCGATTTGCCCAACACCTCCAAGGGCACCATCAAAACACTGGAGCGAACCAAAAGGTCATCTGGCAGAACAAATAGCCCGGAATACTCCATGTTTTCCATCGAAAAACAGGGCATCCTACCGCCCGTTCCCTCCGTCTCCCTTCCCCCTCGCATGTAAACTACCAAGGGGTTGGTTGTTAACTCACCTCAGTAAGACCCTGCCCTCTTGCATCCGATCGTAGGCGAAGAAGATATTCGCCAGCGCGAACGACAACAGGTCACGCTCGTCTTCGAGCATGCTCTGCAGCCGTACCAGTTCCTGCCCGAACAGAGATACACACACGTGTACACACACACGCAAACGGTCAACGGTTAGTGCGGTCGATGGACACAACAAAAAAACACATCCACACACACGTACACGAGCGAGACGGACGAACGACGAACAGCCCCTCGACGTGGTCGATGCCGACAACCCAACGGCACTCACTCACTCACACACACAACCATCACAAACGGCGTTAAGCCAAAGCCTAAATGACGGTGAGCTCGCGTTGCGCGCACCGCGGCGGAAACGGTCAGCACATCTATTAGTCTTACACATCTGCCACGCAACGAGAACGGGCGCGTTTCCTGCTGTCGAACAACCTCGTCGGATCAGCAAACCAAAGCCCCATCGCCACCACGAGCGTCAAACCACATCCACTTGCTTGCTTACCTGCATCCCCGTGTCGAATGCTTCCTTCGTCACCTCCTTCCCCCTCGGTCCGGACGTGGCCTTATCTCGAAACGTCTCCAGGATGTCCTGCGGCAGCAGCGCCGCCAGGCGCGTTCCCTAAAACAGCAGCGAGCGCAAAGAAAGAAAACATGCTCTGTAAGAACTTCAAACCAAAAAGGGAGGGAAACAAAAGAGCACTGCACAAAGGCGTGCCGGACAACAAACGCAAAAGGAACGGAAAAAACACACACAACGAAATCGAGGTGATTTTTCGTGTGATGAGACCATCACCGAAGGAGATGAATCACATCGCCTCTTGCTTTATTTTACTCTAGGCTTTCGACTGAACTTGAAGGTCATCAGCGTACATAGCCAGGCAGGCGACGCACACGGCCACGAGCACACGCAGGATAAACCAACCAGAAGCAAAGAAGAAAATAAAAATAACCGTCACGCTTAGACCCACTCAGATCATCGCGAAAGCGACCAGTACAAGGCAACTCACAACACCACGCTCGGCCACCCTTACCCTTCCCTTCCCTACCCTACCCTACCCTAGCTTAGCCTAGCCTAGCCTAGCCTAGCCTACGTCTCTCGTGCCCTCACCACGACAATCCTCTGGACGAAGTCCACGTCCTCCTGCATCACAAGCAGCTCCACGTCCGGCACGAGCGGGAACGTGAACAGCACCTGGCTCGTGGGGTTAGAACCCCCATCGAACTCCCCCGCGCCCTCCCCCCCCGCGGGCCGCTCGTTCAACCCGTTGCTCTCCTTCATGCCCGCCGCCGCCGCCGCCGCTTGCGCCGCCGCCGCCGCTCCTTTCGTGCCCGCCGCCGCCCCGTAGGCGGTAAGGGCCGACTGCCCGGCTGCCGCCTCGCCTCCGCCGCCTCCGGCTGCCTGCGCCGCCGCCGCCGCGCCCGCGCTCCCGACGTTCCGCCCCGCTGCAGAGGCGGAGTTCACCGCCGCGGGGGCCCCGCCGCCGCCTCCCACCCCCACCCCCCCGCTGCCGTTGTTGTCTCCCCGCTCCGCCGCCGCTGCCGCCGCCGCCGGGGTCGGGGGCTTCGGCTCCGCAATGAGCGGCTTCCCCGGGGGGACCATGGTCTTCGGCTGCGCGTGCTGCCGCATCTGGGGGCCGTTGCCACCGCTTCGCCCGCCCCCTGCGTCGACCGGGGAGCGTTTGGAGGTTAGTTCAACGGGGTGGTGTCAGGGCGAGGTTTGGCGGGACGGGACGGGTCGTGGTCATGAACGTGACCGGGCCTTTGATTCGGGTATCCATATGGGCTAGGCAACGTGTGCGTTAGCTTGATTGATTCTCTGTCAGCAACCGGCCGAAATCAAAACGAAGGCGTCTGGTGCCTTCAGCCGAAAATCTCTCGTTGTGTCACAAGACACGCAGCAGCATGTCACGTCTCTCATCGACGAAGAAAACACGAAACGGTTCCCCCGCAACACCGTTGTTCGATACAATCGAGATTCGCCACAGCCCCACCCCATTCCATGGAGGAGTTTGCCAATCTACAGCAATACACATCTTCACCAAGGAATCAAGCACCCTCGATCAGACAAGCCTGCCGCGAGTGAGAGCTACCATCTAGTGTTCACTGCCTCCCGTCGATATAAACAAACAATACATGAACAAATCCTACCACCAAAACAGCAGGCATAAAAAAAAAAAAAAGGAGGTCGCAGAGCAGCTACGCGTTCAACTTCACGCGTCAACCATCTTCACAATCTCTCCTTCCATGCACCATCCCTCCCCCCCTTCCCTCTCGTGGCTACCTGGGGCGTTCCCCGTTGCACCGACAGCCCACTTGTTGAGATCCAGCAGCTCCAACCACGGGGCCACCTTGTACCCCTCCTGGGTGTACCACGCCGCGAGTTCGTCGAACGAGAGAGAGTCCCGCATCACCAAGTTAGGGCTCTGCGTGTGTCATGCGCCCGCGGGTGTTGCGCATCACCGTGTGTGGGGCAGAACGCGGCAGACGAGAAGAGGGGGGTAAGTACAGACAAGGGTCACGGCGTGTGGGTTGTTGCAGCGCTTCGAGCAAAACAAAAAAATCAAAAGAGTCTAGGGTAGTCAAGCTCAAGAGGACAAGAGAGGACAACGTCACAAAATCACGAATCTCATGCACAGCAGTATCACAGCAATCTTCACACCACAACCACCGCCGCCGTATTCGTTGCATCGCTTCTCTGAACGACACACTACACTCTCCAACGGGAACGCGCCGACTATCTACTGTAGCTACACACGCGCTGTTGCGTTCCTTCCTTCCCATGTGTGAACCGCTTCGTACCGCAAAACTCTAACAGAATTTCTGCCGCCGCATCTCCTCCTTATAGTCGGTCGCGGCACACTCCGACTGGAGCTGATATTCTCTACTGGCGGCCGCCAAACTAGACAGCAGCAGTGCGACCATGACTAAATGGCACGTTCAGTCCGCGAGAGGCGCAACTACCCTACCCTAGCCAAGACTTGTACTGTACATCCCTTGACAGAGCAGCGCAAACTAACCTGAAATATGAGGTTGCTCGACCAGGCGGCGATGGAGTCGACATCCTCTACGACCTTCGCCTGAGACTTCGCCTGGCACGCGCCGCTGAACCCCATCAGGATCGATAGGAGTGATCTGCGGGACCATGCAGCAACAACGAGTATTAAAACACACAGGACGCGTAACGTGTCAAAATGACATGGCGCACACGTTGCTCGACTTGTGACTTGCACTCGTCCTCGCAACCCCTCCCCTAACGCCACCTCCGCCGGGCCCCTCGAAACAATGTCAAACTCCATCCCTCATCGTCATGAAAAAAATAAACACATAACTATCTACCATCATCTATCTGCAGACCGTGCTGTTCCCCACACTGCCATTCCTTGATGCTGCCTCAGCCTCCCTGCTATCTCCTCTGCCTAGTCCCCCCCCACCCACCTCAAAAACCGCCAGACTCCCTCCCTGGTTAGCTGGTCGTCGCCATCCTCGTCCAGCAGTCGAAACGCGCTCGCTAGCTTGACGCTCTTGTTGCCCGAGCACAGCAGGAAGAAACCGCTCGCCAGGTCTCTCGCATCGGCCGACGCGCTGCTTTGCACGAAAAGGGTGGGTAAGAGAGACAAGAGGGAGAGCTGGGAGTTGAAAACGGTCTTACTCGAAACTACCAGCAGGTTGTACGGTTGATTGGGCGGGTATCTGATCCACCTGGTAGACACCTTGAACAGTAGCCGCTTGTCACGGGAATGCTAGTAGAATGGTACCCCGCGGGGAACTGCACTGGGCAACATTGCTGATGTCACTGCCATCGCGTGGCCTGACTGCATCGTTTCGAACTCGGACGCCCCGTGATATACGAATCATGATGCACGAATCATCCCGCAACACCTTCACGTTCACCTTGGATCGATTTTTTGCCTGGAGCATATTTACACAACCCCCAACACCTCACCTCCGCCGAAGAGCAAAACGCGGAAAGACACGGGCCGCAAAGACATCGCGAAAGAAAAAAAAAAACTCCCAACTATCTGCACCGCTATGCAATACATCCTGCCATCTCTCCCCCCTCCCCAAGTCCCCCGCCGTACCAGGATGTGTGTGAAACGCCAGAATGTCTTCCTAATGGTGTTGGTATCAGCATTGTTGGGGACCCATATCAGCCAATTCGCCGACCGACCCTCTCAAAAACAACAACCCCACCGAAAAAACCAAACCATCGTCAGAGCCCAGGCCCCCACCGACCTTCCGTCGAAGTCGAAGGCGAAGAAGACTGCCGACAGCAGTCCCGAGAACCTCTCCTTCTGCCCCTGGCTAAGCCGCCTCCCCGGCACAAGGCCTCTGATGCAGTGGTCGAACGCGTTCTTCGACAGCATCCCCCGCCGCGCCACGCCCCCTCCGCCGGCCGCCTTGTTGACCTTCTTGGCCTTGGTGTTCTCGGAGGCGGCTAGGAGGGCGGCGGCAACGTCTGCGGGGTCCTTGTTGGCGAGACCGGTCCCCTGCGCCAGCTCCAGAACGTTCGATACGTCCTGTTTTTTTTCGTCGTGGGTGGACACGTCTTGTTGATGGTTGGCGAGAGAGCGTGCTACTGCTTGCGTTGTTCACACGGTGGCGGTGAGAGTTGACTCGAAAAAAGCACGCCACAAAACCCAAGGTGGAGTGAGTTCGTTCGTGACAAGGGTACGCCACTACATCCAAAAAGGCTTGGAACGAATTACACGACGGCAATACTGCTGTGGTGGTGCTAATGTGCTTGGGCGGGGGTGTCATCGGGTGTTCTCGGCCGGTGTGCACCCCGGTGTTTTCGGCGGTCGCCCCTACTTCGTTCCGAAGATATTGTCTCGTGTGCGGCCGGCCCTGCTATGTTGTGCGGGGCGTGTCGTCTGACGCCACTATTAGAGGACTGGCTGTTCGTGGCGTGCAACACAATGAGAATGAGTGCACTTTGGCGATGACGGCAGGACACTGTTTAAGAGGTCGAGCGTCGCTACGGTGTATGGTGTGGTGCATCCACGGGGACCCTTTGGCATGGGGGGATGTCCAAGTCGTCCGCTCAGCACCTCCGGAGCGCTACACTATTGAAAAGAGGCAACTGGCAGCGGCTGGATTTAGGGTGCCACATGTAGGCCAATAGACAGACCAACACCTCGACGGAGAAAACAACCGCCCGACATCCACAGTCAGCGACACCCACCACCTACATATGCTGCGGAACCTTGGCGAAGAAAACTACGTGCAGGGTACTACCGTATGTGGTGATGTGGCTCTCCCCGTTGTTCGCAGCGTCCTGCTCCGGCTATGGCGGTATAGTCCGCTGGGTGTCTTGCTTTGGAGGGGTGGTGCACCAGCGATGGTTGAAGAAAGAATCCGTGACGTGAAGGTCGCGTTAAAAGTTGGAACAAGGTCTACCGCCACCACCGTCACCACAACCAACGTTTTGTTGTTTCTCCGTCCACTAGAATAGAATACCAGCGTGCCATACTCCAAACACGCATCAAGTTCATCTCGTGTGACCACGCTGTCTCACTACTTCCAAAACGTTTGTTTCTCCGCTCAATGGGCGCCCGCCCCAGTCTTGACACCACCATCACGTCTACAATCCCACCGCCACCGCTGCACACGTGCGTTCACCTCTTCTGTGATGGTAAGCACTACCGCGGTCTTGGCAGGCCCCAAGCTAAACTGGAACGCCACGTTGTCCTCCATCGCCCCCCCCCACCCCTCTGCCTCCCCTCCCTCCCCGCCCTTGCGCGTGTGAGCGACCGATCGACGAGCGCGGACGTGCGTGATGAAGATGTGATGGGGGTCGAGGCAACGTTGGAGAGATTTTTCGCGATCACGCAACAAGACAGACACAGACGAGAGAGGACGCGACAGAGTGCGAGGCCGCGGAACCAGACAGAGAGATAAAAGTAAGGTTGGGGAAGAGACAGCAAAGTGCTCCAACAAGTCAAAGGGCATGGAGAAGAAAGCCGTCGTACAAACAGGGAGAGGTGCAAACGACATGGTCGAACGCAATGGTTGACGGGAATTTCCCTGTGAGAACTTCCACAAGGATACAAGGATACAACCCTCCACAGCAGTTGCAGTATATAGCCCAAGGAACCGCCGATGGGTGGATGGGGAAGGAGGAGGAGAGAAACGCCCCGATGAAAGAATGCCTCCCTTCGAAACTACTGGTGCCTGCTGCTGTACAACTTTGTTCCACCGCGCTCCAAACCTAGGATACAGCCCTATCCCTAGCCCCAACCCAACCGACCCGAGCCTCTACCATTGTAAAGTAAGCCTAAGCCGCGGCAAGCCTCGGCGCTAGGTTGCTGTAAGGCGAATAGCCAGGTTGCCGTGCATGGGCTGCACCTAGCCAAGGAATGTTCCGATAAATGACATTTCCGACATGGAGACCACCCTTTCGACCAAGTCGTTAGCACTACTTGTACTTGCACTGTACTGCAAACAAGATGGCCTGTCGTCGTGGTTTGCATCCCCGCCGCACAGGGTGAGAGCATCGCACCCATAACAACAGTTGCAACAGCAGCAGCGGCAAGACGAACAAACACCAGCAATACACCATCAACTACCCCGCTTCGCCGACTCCAGCATACCGCCCACAACAACAACAAGGACGACGACATGGCAACCCTTACCGCAGCTGCAGCCTGCGTCTCATCGTCGCCGCTCTTGTCCAACGCTGGGGCCGAGGGTCCTTCCAAACCGGTCGTGGCCGCCCTGACAATAAAAACAAAACAGAACACGTCGGTACATCTCAATTGCGGAGGGAGAAGGGTCGTTTTCTCATCTTTCAACCAATACCATCGTTGAGCTGGCCAGCGCACTCGTGCACTGCGCGAGTTCAGATGGCCCCTGTTGCGCAGATGTATGGCGTGCGACGGCCCATATGCATACACTGTTCACATCTGTGTCTATTTTATCAAGACAAGTTAAGCAGCAAGACAAGCTGTGTCACCTAGTACGACATTGGCCAGAACCAGAACCAAGAAAAAAAGCGACTGCAGGATGAGCACCGAAACATACTTGGAACGAATCGAGGTGCCAAGGCGCGTGCGTAGACGGCAAGAGCAAGTACCAGCAGCAGGATCAGGGGGCTCCGGGGAACGAGAATACCTTCACCGCCACCCCACCCCGGATAACAACCAAGTTCTTCCGTTCCGGCGACAAAACCCAAATACACAAGGGGCAGGATTGCTGTCAACAATGTTTCCGCGCTTGTTAGGGAAGTGATGCCCCTCCCACCCTCTCTCCCTCGTACGCACCACTTTCGCAGATCCAACAGCTCCAGCCACGGAATCACTTCAAAACCGCCCGTGTTATACCAGTTCCCCACGTCCTCGAACGATATCTCCGCCTCCGTTGCGGCATCGAGGGTGTCTGTGTGTCGTGTCGTGGTTTATTCGAATCAGAGCGGGTCGGCCAGGGGAGGACAATAAAGAGGGGCGCCCGACAGAAAAACAACAACAGGAGAACAGAACACCACTCGCTTTCAAGAAAAACGTACTTCTCGAACAGGACCCCCCTACCCCATCGTGTGCGTCATGTGTGCATCCTTTTCCGTATGGATGTTGCTTTGAGAGGACAATCCCTTCCGCATCCCAACAAACACAAAACCTATTCAAGCATCGCCCTTAACATGAACTCGAAACAGTTGTAATAGTTGCTGTGTAGCTCACCCAGTAAGCTTGTCACAGCCGTCTCTGAGGCTGTCGAGATGACGCTGCGGAGCATCTCCGGCGCCATCTCCATCCCCTCCTCCGTGCACGCGCACAGTACCGTCGCGAAGGACCCGAGGAAGTTTCCCAGAAGCTTCGGCGTGAGGCAGCCGCCCTCGTCCGTGTGGACCGCGAAAAGGTGGAAGGCGAACTATCGCAGCATCGAATCGAACGGACCAGCCAAGTTTGGGTCACAGCAGCAGGAGTAGGCGCAGCGTCAACACAGGCAGCCAGCCGGCCGCAGCAGCAACAGGATCGGCATGAGTCGTAACAAAAGGGGCACAGGAAGCACCGTGACAAAGAGGCGCAAACCACGGGCTCAAGTGGTTCGGGCAGAACTACGAGCGGCCGCTCACACGAGCAGGACCAAAACACACACACAACAACAATAACAATACGCAATAATGGCGACCAACAATGGTCAACAGCGACATTGGACACAACACGCATACATGCGACATGTTACCCGGCGTAAAACCGTACCGCGACTTCTGCGGCCCTCTTGCGCCGACACTCAGAAAAAACCAAACAAAAACGATCAACCACACCCAAGGCGTCGTCGTTACTCACCGCGAGCTTGGAGCTCTTGTTGCCCGCGCAAAGCAGGCTGAGGCCACCCACGATCTCCGCGACGCAGACCCCCTTCCCCGGGGCCTCTTCGAACGCGTAGAACACCGCCGACAGCACCTGCAGACCACAAGGCAGGAGGAGGACATGTCCAATACATGTAAGACAATGAAATGACACCACAGAGGGGAAGATCGGCCTTAAAAAAAAAATGCAGCAGTATGTGGCGGTTTCTCGCGATCTTAAAAAAACGGGGGCGTGTTGGTGGGGACCCTCCGGCGAAACACAGCAACAAAAATAGACTCGAAGGGCCCACCCAGAGAGCTAAAGCAACGAAGCCGGCAAGGTGGGATTTGTCGGGGATAGCTTCCGCACCACACAACAACGGTGTCTACACGCCCACAAATCCCGCTCTACTCTAGCGGAAAGTCTCTCTCCCTCTCTCTCTCTCTCTCTCTTGCAAAATGTCACTTGCGGAGGAAACACAACATGCCCTGTCTACAGGCCTACAAAGCAGGATCTATTCTTGCCAAAAGTATCCCTCTTGCTCTCTCTCTCTCTCTCTGCCCCTTGCCTGGCTAAGGCGTTGCTTGTCCTCTTCCGGGATCCATTTGGCAGGCACCAGCTCTCGGATGGAAGCATCGAAATCCCCCTTGGTCATCCACACGGACCGGGGAGAAGACTCTGGGCCTGCGGAACAAACGGACAACGCCAACAACAACGAACGCACCGACACCACCGTCCGCGCATCCACAGCCAGGAGCACACATAAAAGACCGTGCGCGTCGAGAAGATGTGTCAGTTATCGCTGAAAAAAGTTTGGTGGCGCTCAGGTATAATACTGCTGCCTCCCCCACCCCACGTACCGAAACTCGCACGTCGTTACCTTCAGGCCTGATTGCCCCCACACGGCAAACTTGAGGTTGAGCCAACAAAAAGGGGCGATTCTATCTCGTTATCCTTTGTGGCAAGGGCGCTTCTCCGCCTTTGGCCACGGAGTTGGTTCGGCGGATCTTTCCTCACGACAACTCCAGCGAAGCACACAACACGCGAGAACAAAAGGCTGGGCAGCCAGCCCTGTCTTCGAGGTCATCACGGGTCATATTTCACTACAACACCGACAGCGAGAACGTCAACCCCACAACGAGCGCACAGGCCAGCGATAACTCTCTCATCGTCCCCATCCTAAGTTTTCGATCCACCCCCTGTCTCCAAATCTGGACCCCCCCCCCCCCCACCCCCATC